CCCCTCCCCCACCCGCGCGCGAGCGCACCCTCCGCCCCTCCCCTCGTGCCTCCCGGGGCGGGCTCTGGGCGCGCGCCTCCCCGCCCCTTCGGCGCGCGGAGCGGAGCCCTCGCGGCTGCTAGTTTATTGTGAAGCCTGAGTAGCCTTGGAGTTGCCGCCCGGCCGGGTGGTGCGAGGCCGGGGCGCACGGAGCCGCCTTCCCCGCGCCCCTCCCCCACGCGCGGCGGCGCGCCCCGTTCCCTCGGGCACGCGCGGCGGGCGCCCGGCGCTCGGCGTGTGCGAGGCGTGAGGTGGAGATGGGGGCGGAGGGAGCCGGAGCTGTCACAGGCCCTCGGCCCGCCTGACTGAGCCAAGTGGGGTGTCATGGCCGCGGGGGGCGGCGGCGGCGGCCGGGGAGTTCGTCCTCGACGCACGGGTCGGTGTGTGCGTATTTGTGTTCGGTGTGTGCGGGGCTGGGAGGAGGGGTCGCTCTTGTTCCTGCGGGGCTTGGCCAGAGCCGCCGCCGCCGCCGCCGCCTCGCGGAATCTGCCTGGTCCGCCCTTGCTCGGGTGGCGTTTTCCCGCTGGTCGGAGGGAGCGTGGACGGGGCGCCCCGGGAGGGGCCGGGCAGCCGAAGCTGCGCCTCTTACACTGTGTGTTTTGTCTGTTTTTCTCTCCCAAGGTCCCGTTTCCCTCTGTGCGGCGGCCGGCGGGACCATAAGGGCTTAATTCATATATTTAATCCCCCTCCGAAAAGTAAGTGGTCGGTGTGGTGTCTCTGCTCCGCCCGCCGCCCCCAGTGCATCCTTGTGTGTGACTTCTGTCCTCAGCATTGTTAGTTCCCCATCCTTGCCTCGGTGCTGCTGCTGATGTGTGGGGAAATGCCCTCTCGTCGTCCTCTGTCCCCCACGCCCAGTCCTCCGGGAGACCCAGAATGGCAGCCCCCATCTCCACCCGGTGGGGAATGTTCTTGCGAACCAGGTCTTCCCCAACAGAATCCGGGAGGTTCTAACCGTTCGCTTGGGCCCCCTCATCCCCTCCTTCCCGACGGGGTTTCGTTGGAAGGAATTATGCAAATCCTGCTTTCTGGTGTCCATTCAGCGGCAATTTCATGCGGTGAGAAGTTCTCTTTGTTGTGCGAGGGGGAGAACAGACACTGATTTAATAGACATATCTGTTGGTGGGGAGGATGGGGAGGTGTGGAGAGGCTCAGTTTGGAAGAATTACAGCACTTGGTTAGCTCAGTCTTTGTGTTTGAGCTTCTGGCTTGACAGGAGGGTCTGCCCTTTACAATGTCCCACAAGGGATGTTTTCTATAATAGATTAAAAAGCAAAACTGAAACTTTAAACAAGTGAGAAATAAGGTCACCAACCCTAGAAAATACAAGCTTTCCAATTTCTGTAGTGCTTTTAGTATTAAAATATATAATTGGATTTTTTTAAGGCTTAGATTGTAACATCAATGTTAGTACAGCCAATACACTGTAAGATAACTATATTACTTTGGTTGCCGAAAGGTTAAAAGTGCATTGAAAATCTTTCCTTGTGGAAATAATAATGGCCCAAGTTGGGGTTTTTTTTGGTGTGGTTGTCTGGCGACTGTTTGTTAAAATTCCTCTCTAGCCAGTCCAGTCCAGCAAAGAGCCTTTTGGCTATCAGCAATCATTTGCTGTCTCTGCTTGTTTTGTTCTTTCAAATCTATCATACTTTTGCTAACATGTTACATTAATGTAAGCACTTCTGTATTATGTGTTATTTATATCATAACATAAAAGAATATGCACCATTGGAAGTTTTGAGAAAGCAGTAATGAATTTTCAGAATTGCTTGTTAATGTAAATTGTTGAAATTATTTTGAAGAATTAGTTCTTGTGTTTCACTTAGTGATTGGTTTTGTTCAGTAGAGCTTTTTACTTTTTAAAAGCAATTGAGGAATATAACCCAATATTCTTAAGTTAATGTTGCTTTAGGTGGTTTTAATGAGTTGTTTATCTTATTTTGTTTGCTTTAGAATTTTGCCTTCTGCCTCAGACTTCCTTTTTTAAAATCAATCATTGCTAGTATTAGTGAATATTTACTGTTGCTTGATGTTTTAATCTTTTATGAGTAGTAAAACCTTGTGTAATATCTCAATTGAATGTCAAAACTAGATTTATTTTTTGAAATATTTTAATCTGGTGCTCATTTTTCTTAGAGCATAACTCCAAATTGTACCCTTCCTGGTAAAGTTCAAGAGGTTTTAAGAGTCCAGAGTCCAGAGTAGTATTTTAATCTGAGCAGTAATACAGATTGATAGTCTTCCAACTAAAATCAATTTGACTGCATATTTTCTCTTTTATTATATGTAATTTTGTTTCTGAAGAGGAAAGTTCTAAGTAAATCAGTTGTGGTGTTAAGTTTCTTTTTAGAAGGGCTGGGTGGCAGTGATCCTTACACAGTCCCAAAACCAACTCTGTTGTTTACTGTGAAATGTAATATTCATCTTTTATATTAATGGAATTGGTTCTGAGCAGTTAAATTGTTTGTTTATTTTAATATTTTAGGGCTTTTTGTTTCTAAAGATTTAATTATAGCAGTGCTGGATTAAAAATGAATTTTGAGTTATTTTTCAAATCTTTTAATTTTCTCTTCTACTTTTCTGGAGGACAGAAGAGGGTGGTGGTAATTTCATGTCTAAGTTTAGACCGATTGGACTCATTTCAGGTTGTTTTCCTTATTTGAAGTGTTTGGGATCAGAAGTGCTTTTGATCTCAGGGCTTTACAGTTTTTAGAATATTTACATAGAGTTAATTGGTTGAACAACCCCAAGTTCCCCAACATGCACCATTCCAAAGCTTTTTGAGCATTTTGGATTAGACATGTTCACCACATAGAGAGTTCAGACAGTGGTTATGGTCAAGATGCGTATTTGATTACCAGGTGATTATTGAGGGGTCCTCTGGAACTAATAGGATTTGTCCAGATTCCAGAAGGATCTTGGTTCTCTGTGCTGTCTGATATGATGTAACTTAATGCTTTGCTGATCTTCACCCTTATTGTATTCTTGAGTTATTTCTAGTTTGGGGAAAGTTGTGATTTTAGGCTAGCTGTAGTTTGGCTAATAGAAGTCAACAGGATGAATCTCTGATTTCTACAAAAATACTTAAGATTGTACTGATTCTCTCAAATGTTCCTGTAGCTGGAGCAATTCTAGGAAGTATTTAAATTCAATGGTAGTTTTTAGTATTAATGGGCCTGCAGGGGATAATTTATCTTGTGTCAGTTAGTTGATGTCTGTGGGAGTTTTCCACTTTTGAATACCTGCCTAATTACTTGAATTAGTGCTTTTTTTGTTTTGTTTTGTATTTTAGGGAAGGGTCTACTGGGTGTTCAGGGTCTCACTGCTAGATTGGACTTGTGATCCGCCTGTTTACAGCCTCCCAAGAGCTGGGATTACAGGTGTGCGCCACCATGCCCAGTCTCACTTGCCATCTCAGTGTGCCCCAGGGGCGTGGCCAGCAAGGCAGGCTTAGGGGATGAACCCTGAGCCTGCTTGCAGGCACTGTAATCTGCTGAGCTGTTTGGCCGGCCCTAGTGCTGTTTTTTAGTTAAGGAAGGGGTGTTTGTTAGGTTAGTATTTAGTTCATCTAAATAATTAATTAGCATCTGCCTTATTCCTGGTATGTAGCAAGTGAATATTGAAAAACTGTTCTAACCATCAGAAACCTGTAGCCCTTAGAGAAAATATACATCCAGTTATTGGACAAGAGAAAACTTGGCATTTGATATAGTACAAGGAAATACAAACGTGATTAGAAGTAAAAGAAAACTTCTGAGATGATAAAGGCAGGCCTCATGAAGAAGGTGGCAGATTTTTGCTTCATTTTGATGAGTAAAAAGCATTCCATTCATGAGAAATATTATAAGCAAAAGTGTAAATACATGTGTTATCTCTTTAAACTTCAATCTATAGGGGCATGTAGGTGATGGAGGTTTGTAATTTCTTGTAGAGTTTTGTAATGCAAGTTAAAAAGTGGAGACTTAAAAAATTTTTATTTACTCATTTTTCAAGAATTATGTAGTTCAAGCTGGCCTTGAATTCAGTACGTATCTTAGGTTGGTTGGCCTCTAACTCTGCAGCCATCCACCAGCCTCAGCCTCTCCAGTATTGTGCTGGGATTATAGGTGTACAGCACCACACCCCAAAAGTGGAGACTTTATTAGGTGACGTATGGTTGGCAACACTTTGCTCTCTTTAGCTCAGGAGAGGAATATTTAGGGATTCACTTGAGAGCACTGTAGAGACAAACCACATTGATAGGGACAATATTCCGATCCACAGCAATAAAGTAAGCACATTTGGAGGATTATGCTTGATGTAAAATTTATTTTCAGGATTTCATGAAATCACTGACATGTTCTTTCTTTGAATACCTTTATTTTATTTTATCTTTTTTAAATAATTTATTTATTATTTGTGTGTGTGTGTGTGGCCAGCTCAGCCCACCAGGGGGCGGGGCTGGCTGGCATGTGGTGCTGGGGGATTGAACCGCGGTCCCTGTGCTTTGCCAAGCTTGTTCCAAGTATAGGTGCTTTAGACCACTGAGCCATCTCACCAGCCCCTTTGAATACCTTTAGTATCGGCAAATTTCCATCCTTACAGGTTGGCTTTGGCATATATTGATAAGACTGATTTTCTTTTCTGGCTTGCAAACTGGCTGTGAACAGTGAGAAAGGGTCTTGATTTGTTTTGGGACACCTTTGAACCTCTCTTTCTTGTTTGCCCATCTGCTGTGTGGCATCTGAATTTGTGATATTGGGTAGATGTGAATAAACAAATCTGTTGTCGTTTATAGTTTCAGGTTAAAAATCTAACATTGCTACGGTACAAATTATCTCTTAATCTGCTTGCAAATACTTTAAAATTCTTTTTACTATTTCACACACTTGTACGTTGCTTTGAGGATGATTCCATGCTTAACTCTTAGCACATTATATAGGCCATCTCATCTCTTGCATGCAGGACATATCTTAAGTACAGTAACTATATCCTGCTTTTTATTTTTAAATTTATTTATGTGTGTGTGTGTGTGTGTGTGTGTGTGGCCAGCTTAGCCCACCAGGGGGCGGGGCTGGCTGGCATGTGGTGCTGGGGGATTGAACCGCGGTCCCTGTGCTGTGCTAAGCTTGTTCTAAGTAGGTGCTTTAGACCACTGAGCCATCTCACCAGCCCTCCTGCTTTTTTTTAAATGGAGCTATTCAGGTAGTATAAAATTTTTTTTTTTTTTGGCATTGCTTAGGATAATTCACTTTTTCAAAGTGTACAATTCAGCGAGTTTTTTTTTAGTTTGCTCACAAAATTGTACATATATCACTAATTCCAGACCATTTTATTAATCAGAATGAAGAAACCCTCTACTCGTACTCTTATGATCTAGCTCTTGGTGATAGTCACTGATCTGCTCCAATGGATTTGTCTAGTCTGGGTATTTCATATAAATTAATTAAATGATATGTGACTGTTTTGGTCTGGGTTCTTTCACTTACTATAGGCTGTTTTTATTTTTATTTTTTATGACTTTAGGACAGGGTGTACAGGGTCTCACTACACAGATTGGACTCATTGATTCTCCTGTTTTCAGCCTCCCAGGTGCTGGGATTACAGGTGTGCACCACCACCACCATGCCCAGTGTCATTGGCAGTCTGAGAACACCCTGGGAGCGGGGTTGGCACGGCTGGGGATTGAACCTGCAGGAGCTTTAGTCTGCTGAGCTAT